AGAAGCCTGTATTACAAGGACCTGCCTTCCAGGAGGTAATTCTGTTTTTTTTGGGGGGTCCCCCTTTTTCATTTGTTCTCACTAGCTGATAAAGGTCATAAACCTTGACCCCAGAACACAAGACCTTTACTGGTGTCTTAACATTCTTTCCTGACCAATCAACAGTGAAACTTTTTTTCATCCAACCAGGTATATCCCGTCTCAGCCAGAGTACATGTTTTTCCATCCTTAGCATGAATACTATGAATTAGAACTTTAAAACTCCTCAGCTTTTTTATCCTTACCACTCTTGTCAGTAAAGTTTTCACTGGGGAGCTTTCCCCTGCCTGGCAAGTTAACAGACTCAGTCTTTTATCCCCACTCTGATGGTCTTCATTTTGCAGGCCATGTGGGCAGCAATCCTACTCCCATCTCCGTGGCCTCCTCACAAGTCAACACACACACCAGACCCCATACAGTTCCTCCAAGTTTAAGGTACACTTACCTATGTGTAGCTGCGACTAATCCCATTACTACAATTCTCAGGTTTAGATAAATACCAGCCTGTACTCAAATGATTTATTAATGTAGCTAACTTACACGAACATATTTGACCTCTATAGAATACTTTCTAATGTTCACATATCTTAGAAACCACAGGCACAGGTCTTTGGGTAAACATTTAGCTGCATCCTGGACCTGCTTTGCATCTATCTAATGGTTGTTCATACACACACAGAAGTAATACGCATTTGTCTCTGAAGTACTGCCTTTAATGTCCTGTTGAAGCCAAAGAATCACAACTTCAAGCTCATAAACTAAATTTGCAGAATCACTGCTCAGGAGCAATAACATTTCAAACAGGAAATTAGTCCAATTACAATATCCTCTGAATTATGGTCTCTGAGTCCTTGCTGTTTTACCTAGTACAAAATCGCCTAAACAGCTTGCGGCATCTACAGCAGCAGTACAAAAAAACGCTAGCCAGGATTTTTGTCCCCCATGGAATGGATGCAATAAATGGTCCATGCAGTCCCTGAAGATCAGCTAGAGAAAATGAATCTTACGCCAGGACTCCGAAAATGAGCATTCACTACCCATTCTCTAACTGCTCTCCATTTTTCTTCAGAGATGTCTGGGGACAATCGCAGGAGGTGAGTCCCGTGCCAGCTGCATCTTCCCAGCTATCCTGCAGCATGGTGTGGACATGGTGAGGCACCCTGTGGTGGATGCCTCACACTTTGCCTGATTTTTTTTTACCTAATAAGAGTTACAGATATAAGGCAAAAAATGCAGGAGGATGATAGAGTAGTAAGCTGGTGACCTGGAGGCCCCTCCCACCAGCAGTGTGCTTTACCCCTTGTGGCATACAGAGTGGGGCGAAAGGAGGTTCAGTTGTGAGTACGCAGAACACAGAGTTTATTTTTGTATTATTTTATTGTTTAGTATTATTTATTAGCCATTGTATTATTTTCCCTACAAGCAACCAGAAACCAATTTTTGCCCCATCCTGTGTAATGCCCTGTGGTGATGAACTAAACGTCCCCATTGACAGTTTGCTATGAAGTTATGTTCTTCAAGGTTGGAAGCCAAGCCTATCCTACCAGCTCCACCTACAGTGTTTGCCTTTGATGGGTTTATTCCTCCTTCAGTACCTGAGGCAGGTCCCCACATAAACACAAAGAAGGAGGCATCCTTAGGGGGAGGGAGACTTCTTCCTTGCATGACATGGATGCTTACTCAAGGGAGGGTAGTCAGGCTTTAGGTTTTAGACACCTGATGTCTTGCACATGTGCATGTTTCAGATCAAATGAGGGGGTTTCTTTTTGTTTTCTTTAGCTTTGTTTTTAAACTCACGATGAGATTTTTATAGGAGAGTACAAATGACTGTATCATCCTTAGCATGATTTTCATCTTCCCCCTTTCCTCATTTCCTTTCAGTATTGTTTTCCAGTCATTTTGAAGACAACTGCGGCTGTGAACCTTTGCTTTCCTAATGTTTCTTGCTTCTCTTTACTATCAAGAAAAACCTCCTGCTTTGCCCTTTTGCATGAATACTCAGTTACTAAAAATTGAGATCTGGTCCTAAGTCAGTCAAGAAGATAAACGCCTGGGAGAGAATCGAGGGCAGAATGACAGTAACGGCCACTCCAGGGCTGTCCCAGGACTAAATCTGGACTGAGGTACGAAAGTGCAGTGGGAGCTTTGACAGTGAGTGGCCTCTTGTCTTTTTTATTTCCTGTGCTGCTCTGTTGGAGTGCTTTCTGTGTCCTAGATGCTGCGGATCCAGCCCTCAAACCAGTGGCAGACAGGTCCCTTGTGAAGACAATAACTGTACTCTACCCTTCTGCTCTGCTTCCCACGCTGAGTCACCTTGGCGGGTCTTAGTCATAGCTCCTCCCCTCTTATCGAGAACTTCACGCTGTGTCTCCCTGTTATCTGGAAAAATGTGTGAACTAGGATAGGGATGGTAAGACCATTTACCAGTGTGTGACACTGGCCTGAATAAGTTGTTTGAATGTTAGAGTGGCAATTCATTACACAGTTTTATCAGCATCGACGCCTGACCGACCTTATGTTGAACAGTAAATGTCAGGAGATACCTGTGGTCACATGGAACAAAGTTCCTTCTCTCAGAACTCTAGTCCCCTGAAATGTTTTTTTCTTGCACTAAGTAAAATTATGAGCAAAATGAAACCTAGTCAATATGTGAAAATTAAACTTGAAATCACTTGAAATTTGATTCAACAGTAATGTTTTAATGGTAACATTTAAGATAACTGGTAATCAAGCAACTTGAGTAGTGGGTAAATGTCAAAATACATAAAAGTTGAGAGAGGAAAGGAAAACGAGATAAAGAAGGAAACATTAAAAGACAGAAGAAGAATAAATACTTGGGAAGCAGGGTAGAAATGAGAAGTTTGGGGGAAATTGAACCATTTTCTTACACTGATCACATTGTTCTCACACATATGGCAACACACACACGGCTTTGAGGCACATCCGTCACTGACCGCACCAGTCTAGTATCGAGAGGCGAGGGGGGCCTAAAGAAAAGATCCTGATCCCCCAAAATGTTCCCACCCGGGTAACATATAGGAAGGCTAATTGTTGTGCACTAACACCTAAGCTTATACCCACTTGTAGAAGGTCCTACAAGACCTAGAGTCTCCAAGACTTTCAAAGATCACTCCCAATGTCAGCAGTATGTGTGTGAGCTCCTGTGGGAAAAAAGTATAAAACTTTCTTTTGTACGTTGAATTTTCTGTGAAATACCAGCATGGAATTTATTACTTAAAGAAACTCAGAGGTGAATTCTGCATGATCACTGTTCTGCTCAGTAAGTTTCCATTTTTGTTAATTCCTTAAAGTGGGTCATACTTATTTTATATCTTCTTTGTCTTCTCTCTTTCCTTGGTGGTTTTTCTCCTTCCCCCATCTGGGTCAGGGAATCTTAGGTCTGCTACTGAGTCCAAGTAGCTACCAGATACAGTACCTCAGACTCAGCCTGCTCCAGAGAAGGGGGTCAGGAGCTGAGAGTGGATCACCTAGAACATACTATTCTGAAGCAGGGAGACTGACGTTTAGCCCTGATATGTGGAAATCAGCTTCACTGCTTTCTAGCCCTGCCAGAGACAAGGCCCCTGGGCTAATGGGGCTGGAGTCTGCTGACTTTAGGTCAAGCCACTTGCACCACAGGGCATCTTGACCTATGAATCTCCCATCTAGACAGCCTCTCCCTCCTCTGACTTGGAGCCAAACTGGACATTTTTTTGTATCCATTCCTGGGAGAAAATGTGCGTTCTTCACACTTTTACCAAACCGCCTGCCCAGGTTTGAGGCCACGTCAGTGCTGATGCTATGGACCAATGGGGCATGTGGCTGTCTCTCCTCTGCCTGCCCTCTGTTCTCCAAACACTGCTGTGGCTGGATCCGTCACTGTATTCAGGGATTAGGTCAAACGGCTTCTCCTCAGAGAGGCCTTCCCCACCACCAAATTAAAAAAAGAGACCACCAACCTCAGGCTTCTACAAACCTGACCAGAGCACAGTCAGCAGAGCCCAAATCACGTATAGACACATCTACAAAGAACAATATCCAGAAACAACGCCAGACGCCTTCCCTCGGGTGTGAACCTACTTCACACACTGAAAATTCATGGCATAGAAAGCGCCTTTCACCATTTACTAAACCATATGAAAATGCAGACTTAAAAGTTTATAACGATAAAAAAAATGGATCCTAACAAAAATAAGTGCATGGCTGGGAGCGGGGAGAATCCTCTAGTACAGTTCTTCTGTAGAACAACCTAGCGGTATACATCAACAGGCTTCAAAATATTCATATTGTTTGGCTCAATGGTGAGCACTGAGGCCATTATGCTATGTGAAATAAGCCAATCAAAACAGACAAATGTTGTATGATTCCACCTCCATGAGGTACCTAGAGTAGTCAAACTCACAGACATAAAGTAGAATGGTGGTTGCCAGGCGCTGGAGATGGGGCAGGGAATGGGGAGTTATTGTTAAATTAATGTCATTTTCAAAATGGGAAGATGAGAAACAGTTCTGCGCTTCTTGTCAGCTATTTCTTCAACAGGTCAACAGGACCTTCTGTAAAGTCCAATCTCTAGGCCTAATTTTAAATACTTTTAAAATCTCAGAGTTCCTAATTTTAAATACTTTTGGTATCTGGGAAAGCAGCTGTTTCTATGACTATACCATCTTATCAGTTCTCACATAAAATTCAGGTGCTCTGCCACAGAACTGGAAAATCTTTCACATTACGAGATACAGCCACTTATCCAAAGTCACTGGACTATGTTCTACCTTCCAGTCACTCTTGTGACTTTAATAAAAAAAATAGTGTTCTTCTGACTCTGTAACTTGCTTTCCTGAGCCCACACAGCCCAGCTAGCTCACTTTTTCTATCTCTGTGACTTTCTAAATAAACTTTCTCCTATAATTAAAAATAAAAATAAAAAACAGTCCTTAAAGTCTCTCCCATTTTTGTTCTCTTACCTTGTAACTTGAGTTCTCTTCCCAAAATCCAGTGACCTCATTGACTGCAGCACTTCAATACAGCCCATGTACTGGAATAAGAAAAAAAGAGACCAGGTGAGGGGAAAGTAGCACAAAGATGTCTCAGCTTTAGAGCTATTTCCTGAGAAATACCTTTAATCAGTTCCTGCTATCAAGTTACATTTACAAACCCTGCCTACCATCGATATTTCTGACCATTCATGGGCATGTCTTAAACTTCAGCTCAGTTATACAACATCAGCAAAAGCCAAACTATGATATTAAGAATGCAGGTAACAACGACAAATATGAATGCAATGGTTAAGATATTGAGCTCCGGGGTCCAACCCTGTGAATTAGAAACCAGGCTCTGCCACTTGTTATGGAACCTCAGTAAGGTATTCTACATCTCTGTATCTCAGCTCTGTCACCAGTAAAATGCAGATACAATTAGAATATTTGTGAGAGTAAATTATTTCTTACAGGGGTCCTAAGAGCGGCGCCTGGTATGTAAAACTATTAGAGGAAGTAAAAATAAATGTGAGACTAATAACACAGAAACATTGCATCTTCTAAGGAGATAAAACAAGCATATAAATGCAGATAATATAGGATTTAGTAACATAAGATTTTTTTTTTGCAAAATCATGTTCAAGAAAAGATAAACATTATATCCTACACCAGGAATGAGTGAATTGAACTTGAACATGAAGTATTAGAAAAAGAATGGTCACTTATAAAGCTCAAAGACGGTTGATACTTAATGCAGCAGCAGTGGGAGGCACATCAGGCTGCTGGTAAGGGAAGGGTGTGATCAGTCGGGGTTGGAGGAGCCTGATGCGCACAGTGTGAAGGTGGGTGAGTAGCGAGGGAGTAAGTGAGGACATGCCTGCCCAGAGGGAAGAAGTACTGGCAGCCCGCACCGAAAGGGGCTGGCGGCAGTAGGAAGGAGGGGACAGATTCAAGCGGCATCTCGGAAATAGATACTACGTGATTCGGTAGTTGATTTGATGTAGAGAGTAAGAGAAGGATGAGTCAAGGATGACTCAGACATTTCCAGCCAGGGTAGCAGAGGGAACAGTGATTCCACTAACAGAGACAGGAAAGTCAGGGCAGGGGAAGATGAGCTGGTTTGGGACCCATTGACTGAAAGACACTGGTGGAGTATCCAGGAAGTAACAAGCTGGCGGTTTAAAATTGGATTCTGGGCTGGTGGAGAGGACTTAAGCCTGGGGATGCAGACTTAGTCGCCTGTGCAGCTTTGCCAGGTGAGGCTGTGGGCGGAAATCCTCTTAGCAGATCCTTGGTTGATGAGGAAGAGCGTTTCTCAGAGAATGAGCTCAGAAGCATTATGAGAGCCAAGCTGTCTGATTGAAAGTGATCTGTTGGCTCCTTGAAAATTACATATTTACTGTTTGGAAGCCGTCCAGCCTCCCTCTGCTTGGAATGGCAGAAGCACTGTGAAAAGATGGCAGGAGCCAGGGGGCGCCTCCCCAGACACTTGGTGTAGTATTTCTGAACAAATTCCGTAGATTTAGCAAACTAAGAGCCCACTGGTCCCCCAAGGACTGGCTGGAGCCTAGGGCTGGGGAGAGTTCACTGGCCAGGACAACCACCTGGTGATTCTCAGCCAGGTTCCTGTTCATCACACTCCTCTTGGGTCTCTGGTATTGACACAAAAAAGTTGTTTGAATGTCCTGTTCTGTCTTCCTTGAGTAACTCAGGGAAGTAAGTGACGCATGGAGATTTCTGTTCAGGGAAGCATAAGACTTAGTAGGGCAGGAAAGTTAGATTTAGGGGCTATGGTAGAACTCCTGTCTCAAAATTGTCAAGATATGAGATTCCAATGGCCCAAGCTCCATGTCAAGGTGGATTGAAAGGATGGTTTTCCTAACCTCCCCGGCTGCTCTGGCTTTTCCTGTCTTTCAGTGTCTTCTTCCATTCCAGCATTTACCTCCTGCTTCCCTATTTCTGTGCCCCTCCTGCTGGAAAGAATGGGCTTCCCGCACGGGTGGGGATACAGGTCTCAGCTACACCTCCAAGTCCTTGTCAGTGCACAGAAGGCTGTCATTTTTTCCCTTCAGTGTAAATCATCGATTTAAGATGAGGTGACTCAGCCTACCAGGGCACATTTTTTGAAAATGTGACCAAGCACCTGCATTTTTCATACTCTGCCAGAGTGCTTTTTCCAAAATGAATACCAGAATGTGCTCTCATTGCTTAAAATTCCTGGCATGTATCAAAACAAATACAATACTATAAACCTAGGCCCTATGTTTCCTGGCCCCTGCTCGCCCCCTTCCACTCCCTCTGTGTCACTCTCCCCCATGCACTTTGCTGCCACATGGGCCTTCTTTCTACTCTTCGAATATTTCCAGCTCTTTCCAAACACAGGACCTTTGTACTTGCTGCTCCTCTCCCCCCACTGCCGGCTCTGCCTAGCTCTTCCCCTGCTGCTCTGCAGAACTGACTCCTCTTCATCCTTCAGGTTTTAATTCAAATGTCACTGCCTCAGAATCTCCCCACTGTCACCTTCATCGCCACTGACAGATTATCAGGTTTGCTTGTTAATTTGCTGTTACCTGTATTCTTTCCTTAGCTGTAAGCACTATTAGGGTAAAGACCATGATCACCCCTGTTTTCCCATCACTTGGGACAGTGCCTGGGTCATGGAAATCTAATGAAAGAATGAATACAGCTTCTATGGTTCAACTCTGACAGTATCTTTTAAAGAGCAGAGGAAGGGAGAAGAAACAAAGGGAAGGGCAGGTTGGACTGGGAATAAGTGAGAAGTACAGAACTGGGGACTCAGAGGGAGACTCAGGAATTACAGACCAGGAAGGTAACTTTCGGAAGGTTTCTAGATTTCTTTGTTATTTCCTCCATGTTTATTGTTTTCCCATCTTAGAGACTGGCAACAAACGACCTAAACAGAGAGGGCTTTGCAGTCAAATGGGCAGAGGGAAAAACACCGCACTACTCCTCTAGTGCTGTGGGGAGAAGCCCAGAATGACAACGAACCCTCCCACGTGAGGGGCAGTGTCTAAGCCGGGCGATTCTCAGCCCACTCAGTGACTCCCAAAGGTGGGATTTTCAGTGGAGAGTGAGCGGAGGACTGAGAGAGAGGGGATCTTCCAAAGGTTTTGTTCTCAATCACATTTCATGGTGCTAACCCCCTCACGCCTTTCCTTCTAAGGCAGAATGCAGCATTGCCTCTGATCCCCCCTTCCCTTCCCTGAAACCTCTGTTTTGCTTCACATGCTTGTCTGTCAGGCACAGGTCACAGCCTCATGAGAAAAACTGAAGTTTCTGAAGAAACATGAGTCGTGAGGTGGTGAACGGGAAGGTTGTCTGAGCACTGTGCCTCTGCTTTCTCACCCTGCCACCCGTAGCAAAGCCTGAGGTCATGGTGACAATGCATACATGTCCCCTTCCACCCTGTGCATGCCTGATGAAGCCACTCTGAGCAGACTGAAGTGGGGGGATCAAGGCCTGCCCGTTGCCACAATTACCCCCAATACCAGAATCAGCATGGCCTCCCCGTCGACTCACACAGTCCACTTCGCTCAGAAACCACTGCTATGAGGAGGCAGGGACCGGGCAACATATAACAACAATCTGTCCACTTCTTCCCACCTGCAAGAGCGGGCAGTGGCTGAATGTCAAGGCCTGAGGGAGAAGTCGGGTTTGTTGATTTAGATATAAACTGGGGGTGACAATACCTTTCATTCATTTACTAAACACAGATCTATGTAAGACATGGTCTGTGTTCTTAAACAGCCCATCCCCATAAGGACAAGGCAACTGTGAAAGAGATGACTTTTCTCTCTGTGGGGTTAGTCATTGTTGTTAATTCCATTTAATAGATGAGGAAATTAAGGCCTATTAAAGGAAGGATGCCTGGCTCAGTTTTGTTTCTTCAGTGAGACTAACTCAGGGTTTATTCTAGAGTCCATAGTGCATCTGGGAGGCTCAGTGTGGAAGTCTTGAATAACAGAAACATCAAAAACAGAAGGGGCCATCCAGCTGGCTCCCAGTGGCTCTCCTTTGTGCCACCTGGGGGGCTAAGAGGGCAGCGGGCTTGAGGGCTACCTGGTAAGAACAGACATCCACGCAGGCTCTTCTGGGGATGGCGGGAGGTGGCACATGAGACAGCCAACACTCCCTAATTCCTTACCATGGGACAAGGAGAGGACACTGGAGATTCTCATTAGAGACACACGCGGTGGTGAGAAAGTGGCGGAGCTCCGAAGTGCTCACACAACCTCCCCATTCAGCACCGGGCGGCGCACTTCACACTCCCTCATGCCCCAAGGCAGTAATAATATTTTTGTGCTGTCTGAGCGCCAAGCACTTGCTCCCAGGGAGAGGTGAACGCCTATATTCATGGCCAAACGTATTGTGAGCTTTGCATTCCAGAAAAGAAATTACTGGAGGTTTTCAGAGAAAAGGAGTGACGTGGAAACTTCTCATTCTGACTCTTATACAGAATGATATATTCTTACATCCTCAGAAAGAATGTCTGAAGGATACAGAAGGATACATGTTAATGGTGGCTACCTCTGGGGATGGGAGAGAAGCAGACTTTCACTTTCTACTTCACATTTTGTATTGTTTATATTTTTAAAAATAAGTAGGTAGTATTATTTAGAGTTAAAAATTAAATAAAGCCTACCACTTAACCTCTAAGAACCACAGTTCATTATTCACTAAGTAGGGTTAGTTCCCTTTTTCTTCAAGGCATATGGCCTCCCTGAGAATGTGCCTGGCTCTGCACCAAGAGAACGAAGAAGTTGTTCAGGAGGCGGTGTGAGGCACAAGCCCTGCGCATGCTCAGACAAGGAGGAACCGCGCTTTGAAACAATCAGAACGCTGAGAACGGTCTGTGAGCAAAGACGGAATGACGAGGGCCTGACCTTCAAGCAATAACGCTCAACAATGATAGAGGCCACCAAGGTGGCCTGAAGACACTGCAAGATTTTTCTGCCACCTTTAAATAACTTTCAGTCTTTCCCATATTAAAAAAAAAAAAAGGCAGGGAGAAGGAAGAGAACATTCTTCATAATTTTGA